TTTTTTTTATTTTTAATTATATATATATATATATATATATATATATTAGGCACCAGGATTAAACCATATACACTTTATATATATTTATCTTATTTTTCTTTGATTTATACAAACGTTTTCTCTAGGAAATAAATAAAAATTTAAATTATAGAGTTAAATTTCCAAGTTAGGGAGGTTCGACTGTATTCAAATGAGTTTGAATGTTTCTAAAAAAAGATTTCATATAATGACATTTTATTTTTTCTAATCAAGAGATTCAGCTACGGCAGAAGTGGCAATCCTACGCGTAATGTGTTAGAAACATGCTTGGCTGCTCTTGAAGATGGCTTTTGTTTCTCCTCTGGATTGGGTGCTACAACTGCTATCACATCCTTGATAAAAGCGGGAGATCATCTTATTGCTGGAGATGATCTTTATGGTGGAACCAACCGTTATATACAAAAGTGTTTAAGCAACCAAGATGTAAAAAGTACTTTTGTCGACATGACTGATGTGCAAAATGTTGTAGATGCGATACAACCAAATACAAAGGTGGAAATTAAGAAATAAAAGTATTATGTGTTATTTAGAATTTTACTTTTAGAATTTAATATTTTCTAGACATATTATTAATTTTTTAACATGTCAACTTATTTTTTACATTATATTTTCTATTTTATTATAGATGATATGGCTGGAGACACCCACTAATCCCATGATGAAAATTACTGATATCAAAGCTGTCGCTGACAGTTTAAAGTTTTCTCGTTCAGATATTATATTAGTTGTCGACAACACATTTTTGACATGCTATTTCCAAGTAAGTTTGAAATAATTATATAAAAAAATATATATATAACTATACATATTCAATATGAAAGAGACTATTACCAATTTATTATGACAGAAGCCTCTTGATCTTGGCGCAGACATAGTAATGTATTCGTTGACAAAGTATATGAATGGTCATTTGGACATTATTATGGGTGCTGCAATTACACGCCGAGACGATCTCGCAGAAAGATTGCGATTCCTACAAAACGGTAAACCGATTAAAAATTTTTGCAAGTCTTGAAGATTTTGTGAAGATTAATATCTTCTTTTCGGATTCAGCAATGGGTATCGTCCCATCGCCATTTGACTGCGCCATGGTAAATCGTTCACTGAAAACGCTTGAGTTAAGACTGCAGCAACACATGAAAAATTGCTTAGCCGTAGCCAAGTTCCTCGAGTCTCATCCCTATGTTGAGCGAGTATTGCATCCGTGTACGTATCCAGAATTTCTCTTTATCTTTTCTTAAAATAAAAGCATACTTTAGTTATCTATTGCACTAATTTACTGCACTGATCCAAAATGTCATGATAAAACATATCTATGAGATATAGCACACATGTTATTATGTCACAGATCTCCCGTCGCATCCACAGTATGAACTCACGCTTAAACAAACATCGGGACACAGTGGAATGCTTTCTTTTTATCTGAAAGGTGATTCAGTGAAGTTTTTGAAAGCATTGAAAATCTTCACCTTGGCTGGGTCTTTAGGGGGATCCGAGTCGTTAGCTGAATTACCGTAAATATTCAAAATTGAAATTGAAATCTAAAAATATATGTATATATCTTTAATATAAATATTTATTACATAGCTCCACAATGAGTCACGCGTCCGTGCCGGAAGACATGCGGGCCAAATTGGGCATAACCGATCAATTGATTCGATTGTCTGTCGGCCTTGAAACAGAACAGGATCTCATAGCCGATATCAAACAAGCATTGGAAGCTTGTCAATAAATTAATTAGACAGTCACGAAATAACAATAGCAGATATTTTAATTTATATATTGTAATTTGTACTATAAATGTCGGATTTTTATCGTTATAGATTTCTGTACATGTGAATACTGTTTTACATCATTTAGATATAAAGAAATTTTATTTTATAAACATTTTATACATTCGACAGTTCGCAGATTTACATTAAGAACACTTGTATAATACAGCAATAATCGCATACTTTTTGACACATGATCGCCCGTTCTGATATCTCTTGATTTATCAACGTTTATTGGACAAAATAGATACATGCAAATAGATGTGATTCTCAAATTTAGAAACGATATAAGTTACATTTCAGAATGACATTAGTTATTAATGTTGTATATTACAGGCTGCGAACACTAATCCGCTCTTAATAGATCACAAAACTCGACTGGCAATCAATAAATTCGACAAACGTCAATAATTTTCATTATTGATTGCACTTTGTTTTGATACATTACAAATATGTTACCACCCTGCGTTTCATCGAACGCAGAATATTGCCATATAAAAACCGGATATTGCCTTTTACGACTGTCAGGAGAGAAAAAGGTTGTAGCGTTCCGTTTTTAGAAGTGTCTTAAAGCCATCTCAAATGTTATCTCATGTTATTTTATTGTAACATCTCTTTATTTATAGGAAAAATGTAACAAACTTTTACATGTCATTTCTCTTATGACGTTACGATTCCAATATGGCCGCGGTGACTATTCAGGAGCCTTAATACGATCATTCATTCAATATGATATATATCTCAAATACTATGTGATCGCATTGTTTATTTGTATATAACGGTATTTGTAAATAATAAAATAAATATATATTACAAAACCCTTCCTATTTGTGTCAGTTTAAATAATTATACATATAATTATTAATCAAATAATTAAATTAAAATGTTCTATCGTTGCTATTAAAAAAATGATGCTAATAATAAAATTTAATATCACATAAATTTTGTCGTCATTCCACATTTCAGTAACACGATGTGCGAACATTGTTATTAACGCTAAAGTTCCCATTAGCTGATTTCTCTTTTTTTTATCCGTAAATCATTAGATTAACTAAAAACTCAAAGAAGTCCGGTTGGGAGAATATCTCAAACGTGTATGTATATGTATACGTCTATCGTAGACCATACGGTCAAAGATCGTGAGCCTCGAGAGCATATTTTTAATGTGTGTGTTTATATATTGCATGCCAAATCGTACCGTTTTGCAAGTCGAAATGTACATCACCAAGAGGACGACGTTAATTTTCGCGACGGTCTACGTGACGGTCATCACCCAGGAGACTGTTGCCAGTAATTCATTAAATATATTATTCTTGTCGCGAGTCAAACCACGAACTTTGTCTCTGTGATCATCGAAATTTTTAAAGAAATTTCTCGCAATGTAAAAAGATTTTTTTTTTAAAGAATATCTTGCGTAACCATAAAAAATTCTAATTGTTGATTTCAAAAATGATTAATGTAATTTTGTATCCTAAGTAATAAATTCCAAGTAATTCTGATAAAGTACAAAATTATCGATTATATCATTGATAAATAAATTTTCCATCCTAACGGTGCTCTTGACATTTTCTTGATTGATTAATCATCGATTACATCGAAAACATCATTATCCAACTTATGTCTGAGAAGCAATGCCGAGTGTATAAAATATTCTGTTCACGTAAAATATAA